CGTCGAGGCCAACGAGCACCAGAAATGTGATGGAGAACTCGAGGGTAGCCTGGTTCAGGGTGGAAGCATCGAGATGGAATCGGCGACTCCTCCTCCTCCTCCTCCTCCTCCTCCTTCTCCTCCCTTTCCCCCTCCTCCTCCTCCTCCTCCTCCTCCCCCTCCTCCTCCTCGTCCTTATCCTCCTCCTCCTCCTCCTCCTCCTCCCCAGGACGTACGTAATCTGTAGTCTCCCTGAGAAGTTCCCCTCCAGTGATTCTCGTCTGGCGGCCGTTCGCGACGGTGTGGGCACCTCCAGGCGCCTCTCGGCGAGTGCGCAGCTGCCGAAGCGCATGCCGAGGTAGGAGAACCTCGAGGAGCAGACCTGTCCTTCTGGCTGGGCCAAGAGGGGGGTGTCCAAGAGGGGGGGGCGCAAATCATGACCGGCGGCATGTGCGCGGCCCAGCGGGGAGGCCAGGGACGTAATGAAACAAGAAGAGGCGCCATGAGATCTGGAGAAATATCATGGCCCCCGCCATGATATCCACCCCCCCCTAGTCATCACCCCACTCTTTTCCGCCCCCGACTTCTGCCTGGGCCAAACATCTGGGGCCACGCTGGGAAGTACTCTAGTGTTAGGTCGGTCGTGTCCCCCTACAGCGGATTTTGGACGAAGCATGGAAACACAGTCCAACAATATTCAAGAATACTCGCAAATGATCGAAGCATCGACACCAGACAATTTGTTGACTATTGTTTGATATACCTCTTGTAGAGGGATAGGACCGACGTAGCACTTGGTGCGGGGCGCCTGTCCTCGAACAGGGAGTGCGCCACACTAATTAGACCCCTGGAGGCTGGATCCCCGAGAGCTTCCCTCTGCGCGTCCGAGCAGCTCGCCTTGCAGATGAAAAGGCGATGAAGATCAGGGTTAGATCGGGTATTTCCTCCTACATGGGGATTTTGGGCAACAAACTTAAAAACACAACAAACATCAGAAATGACAAAACAAAGTTGCGAAGCATCGTGCCCAGACTGTTCATATACATATATATATATATATAGATACAGGTATACACATATAGATCAGGGAAGATCAAGGAAGAGTTCCCGCCTGCGACGAGAGCCGAGACATAATGGGGATCATAGGCCACACAGAGACATACGAATACCATGTCCTTCTCGGAGGCGCGCGTCCAACCCGCACATTCAGCATGCCCATCTTGTAGCAGATCGTTTCCCGAGCGGCGTGGCCCGAAAAGTTCCTCGGTGACGCGACGCCCCCCTGGGAGCCGGCGCGCACGTAGTATCGAGGTGCTGGGTTGACGCCGAGAGCATGGAAAAAGACGAGATTGAAGGGGCCCCAGGACACACCAACAAATACACACAAAGAAACATATTCCCCATGTTTTCCCATATCTTCAGGGGTTCTGTCTTCCCCCCACTTCCAATATGTTCCCATCTTTTCTGGGGAATCGAGGATGAATTGTGTCTGTGTGTTTCTTTTCCTCCTGAGAGATGCTCTGGCAGCTGGGTAGTCGAAGCCAACCTGGCGCCAATCTGGCAGGCCCAATCTGGCAAACGGGGGCAATCTGGCGAGGGAGCCAACGCGAATCCAGTCTGGCGAATAACCCAAATCATCCAGTTTGGCCGGGCCAGATTGGCCGTTGGGGCCCAATCCAATCTGACAGTCTGGCCTTCGACTACCCAGTCTGGGAGCCCGAGGCTAGGAGCCCCGGGCCCGGCGAGACCATCCGGTTGTTGGACTTGGAGAGCATGCTGGAGATCTCCTGCGGCCGCACGGGGGGGGGGGGCCCAGCGCGGCGTGCCGGCGCCCCCAGGGCTCCGAGGCCTCGTCCTCTGCTCCGTGCGGGGCTCCCGGAAGCCTCGACTCCCTCGCCAGGGCCGGCATTTCCATCCCGAGCCATCGTTGGGAGGTCCGCGGGCTCGGCGAGGGCCCCCACGGGACGAACGAGGCGAAACACCTCCGCCCTGATTTTTCAATACGCTGGAGGCCGGGGTCCCGACAAGCGCTCGGAAACTGTGGCACGTGGCGCCAAAGGCGACGGCGGAGCCCAAAGCCGACCGACGAGCAGCCGGGCCGAGAAAGCGGTGCAGCCAAGCGAGGGGCGTGGCGACGCGGCCGACAGAACCGAGAAGGGGAAATGATGAGGAGGAGATGGGGAGGAGAGGGGGTGGCGGAGGAGGAGACGAAGGATGAAGGAGGAGCAGGAGAGTAGGGGGGGAGAGGAGGAGGGAAGGAGCAGGAGGACGACGAAAATTGAAGGGATACCAACACTAGCAAATCGCTGCTAAGCGCGGCAGGAGTAGAAGGGTATAAGCAAAAACGGACATGGGGACGCGGCATCCTCCATCAGGATAGGAGGAGGAAGGAGGAGCAGCAGGAAGAGCAGAAACAATTGTTCTATGGGCGCTGCAACATGTACTTGCGTGCACATGGTGGTGGGGTGCGTGGCAAACCCCGAACGGGAATCTGAACTCCACGCAAGCCGGGATTCGCTTGCAAGCCTTCTGGCCCCAACGCTGTTTGGTGTGAAAGGGCGGCTGAAAGGGGCGCGGGGGAGGCGCGGGGGAAGCGGCCGGGTGTTCTCGAAGTGCCCATGGCCCGAGGTGCCCCCAGGACTCCCGAGGGGGCCCCCGCGGTTTCCAGAGCACCCCTCACGAGGCCCGGACTGTCCAGGGGCTCCAAAACTGAGCGCAACGTTTGGGGCACCTTGCGCCAGGGGCACCTTTAACAACCCCCGACGGGAAAGGGGGGCAAGACTTCCGGGTGGGCCCCCCAGGCCTCGCGAGGAGACCCCGTGACGGGTGCCCGTGGCCCCCGGGTTCCCCAGAGTCCAGAGATGGCGACGACAGCGAGGGCGACGAAAGTGGGGTTAGGCTGACGACGAGGCCGGCGAGGACGGAAGGACGGGGAGGACGACTAGGACGACGACGAGGGCGAAGACGAGGACGACGAGGACGTCGAGCACCCCCGGCGAGGGCCAGCGGGCTTGGCCCGCCGTGGGGTTCCAGAGTGGCGCCAAGAGCTACGGACACCTCGGGCCAGGAGGACTACGTGGCAGCTCACGGCACGTGACAGAAAACATGTTCGCAGCGTTTTTGTTTACATTGGGCTGCCCCTCTCTCATGGGAGGGCCAAGGGCGTCCAAACGAGGAACAAACAAAACCGCCTGCCGTGTGGGGCCATCAGGCTGCGCGGATTAGTCTTGCTGCTCCACGCTCCAGCTCCAGTTTTAAATCTCCCACCGCCGCCAGGGTCTGGGACTTTTTCCGCAAGGAGAGACCCCCGAGGCAGCAACGCGTCCCCGCACGCGCCGGCGAAGGCCCTGGGCACGAAATGAATGGGAGGAGCACGAGCAGGAGGAGGAGGAGGAGGAGGAGGAGGAGGAGGAGGAGGAGACCAAAGAACAAGCGGCAGCAATGAAACATAACGCAACGAAAAACCAAGCCCACGACGCAACAAATACTGGACGGGGGAACACTCTCTACAAAACAACCGTTTTGCATAGAATGTCCTACATCCCTGGTCAGATCGCGCAGGGGACACCCCAAACCGAAGGGGGGATATAGTATTCAGAACAACGGCTTTGTTCACTATTTCCCATGCCTGGTTGTGGCGGTCCCGACAAGCCCAGCCTAGGCGGTTTCGCCTCGGCGGGCGCCAGCGCAGCAACCTGCGTGCACCGCGCAGAGGGGGGCCTGCTCAGCCCGCCGCCGCCCGCATAGCCATGCTATACAGGCCCCCGGAGCCCCAGCGCGGCAGCCCAGCAGAGGGCTACGTCGCGGCGCCCAGCCCGACGCGGGCAAGGACGCGAGCTAGGAAAGCAGCCGATCGCGCGGCCGCGGGCGGCGATGAGGACGGCCGCGCCGCCGCCGCCCGCGCCTCGCACATGGCCAGCGTGGCCGCGCCGGCTGCGGCCGTGCGCGCAGCAGACGCCGCGCGGGCAGCTGCAGCCTGCGCCGCGCGCAGCGTACCCAGCATGCGTAGGCGGCCGGCGGCAGCGCCCGCGCCATGCGGCAGCGCGGCGTGCAGGGGCAGCGCGGCCGCGGGCAGTGGTGGTGCCGGCGGCGCCCGCTGCGGTGGAGCACCAGAGCACGGCGGCGGGCAGCCCGCAGCAGCCTTGGCGACGGCAGCCGCCAAACGATTCGCTCGCCAGTCGACGGCAGTCACGACGCCTCCGTCGGAACGCATGGCAGCGCCAATGCTGGCCTGAATGCCGCGCGCCGACATCCAAGTGAGCCGGTCGCACGCGACAAGCTCCGAGACTTCGCCGTACAACAGCGTGGCCACGCGCGACCACAGCCGCGCAAGCATGCGCGTGGGCTTCGCAGCCTGCGCCGTGTCAGCCGCGGCACCGACTGGCAGTCGGCGCGGATGCGGGTCGGCACTGGGGCAATGGTGAGCACGAGCGACACGGCCCACAACTCTGCGCCTGGCGGTTCCGTGAACCAGCGGGCGGCGATCTCCTCCTGCACCGCGGGGCGCGGCAATCGGAGCGCGAGGAGACCGGGCGCGCACGTAGAAGCGCAGCCCAGGCCTCCAAGAGCGAGGAGAGCAAGACTTGGCACGCATCTGGCGGCTGCGGCCACCCTTCCAGCGGTAACGTCGCCTCGCATACGCGGCGGCGCAAGAGCGTGCCCAGCGCCGCGCCGCACAGCTAGCAGTTCCTGTCTGCGGCGCTGTCCGCGCCCCGCAGGCGGGCGAGGCGGACCTGGGGCCACTGGCCACCGCTGGCAGCGGATAGCAGCATCGACCCGCATTGCCGGGACCACTGCGGAACAGTGCGGATCGGCCGGCCCTGGTCCTTCAGCAGGCGCGCAAATGGGGCGCTCGACGAGGACTGTGAAGGAGTCGGCGCCGTGGGCGGTCGGCAAGTCAGGCGGGCCATCGACCATGGTGGGTAGTTCGGCGACCACGCGTTTCGTGCGCCACCTGTCGACAGATCTATGCACGGCGGCCGCCACCATGGCAGGCGACATCAGGATGATGTCAACAGGCTCTCCCAAGTCGTCGAGGAACCACCTCGGGGAAGCGCGCTGCCACCCAAGGCGCCAGGCCGTGACCATGACAACAGCCGCTGGGCCAGCCACGGTGGCCCATGGCCACCTGCCGCTCGCCGCCGTCGCTGCCAGCCGCTTCCGCGCCTCATCGAAACCGCGGTCGAGGGCCAGCGCGGGCGCCCATTCCTGTCAATGCGCCAACCCCTAATGTCGTAACGGCGTCCCGTGCGCGGCGTACGCGGGATCCAACGCGGCGCCTCTGGCATCCAGCACGGCGAATCCGAAGTCGACTTGGCGGCTCGCTCCCAGGGGCAAAGCGGCACAGCGTGCTGCGACCCGGACTCTGTGGAGGTGCGTGTTGGAGACCCCGACGATGTCAATGCCGTAGAGCATGCTGGGGCTGCCAATCGTCTTGACCACACGGGTGACATCCAGCCGTTGGCGGCGTAAGGCGTGCACCTTGGGAATGCGCCTCCCGAGCTCCTTGAGGCGGCACTGGAGGACGCCAATTCCGCGAGTGCGACCTGCAGCGAAGGAGGTGCCAAGCAGCTTGACACCGCGCTTCGGCACCAGAAGCCGCGGTTTGGTCAGGCAGGCCAGTTTGGTCGCCAGGCTGGGCCTCGAGGCGATCGCGAACGACTTCGTGGTCGACACCTTGAGCTTCAGGCAACGCTCGAACATGTTCACGAAGAAATCCGTGCCGTTCGCCACCGCGAGCAAGGCCTCCTCGGAGAAGCCGGAGGCAGCGACGGTCAGGTCGTCGTCAGGGAGTGAGCACCAAACCAGCATTTTACCTTCCTGGGATCGCGTTGCCAGAATGCCTGCAGGGCCGTGGGACACGTAGAATACTTTGGGTTCGCGCCCCCGAGGCCACGATCCCATTTAAATTACTCCATGTCCGCGTCCCCGGGGCCACGACCCCTTGTCAATTCATCAGCATTCGTGTTTCCGAGGCCACGAACCGGGCAAATGAAACTATGTTCGCCCACCGAGGCCACGATCCTTCGTAAATTACCCAATGTCATTCAATGTGCGCGTAGCCACGATGCCTCATACATTACACAATGTTCGCATCTCCGAGGCCACGATCCCTAGTAAATTGAGCAGTGTTCGTTTTCCCGAGGCCACGATCCTTCCTCATATACGCAATATTCGCGTCTCCGAGGCCACGATCCCGAGTAAATCGAGCAATCTTCGTGTCCCTGAGGCCACCAGATCTAGCACATTGAAATACATTCGAGTCTCGGATGCACGGCTCCCTGGCAGACTATCACAGTTGCGCGCCCCCGATCCCTCATAGACTGCACCACGCTCGCGACGATGCCCCGTTTTCTGGCGAATTGCGCCCTGCTCGCGAGCCCTCGAGGCCACGATCCCTCGCAAAGCACGCCCTGCTCGCATCCCCGAAGCCACCGCCCCTGGTCAAAATACTCCGAGGAACCCCACGACCGACCACGCCAGGCGATGCTGCCCGACGTGGCCCCAAGCAGCCCCCAGTCGTTCCAACAGGGCCTCCGATTTGGACACCCGAAATGGGCACCGAAAGAATGGGTACAATGCCCGGCAACAAATGTTGTCCCAAACCAACAGCGGCCGCTGTTGGGCAGGCGGCCTTCTGTCTCCAATGGAAACAGGCCACGGCGGCGCGGACAGCGAGCCCTGTTCAATATGAACAGGAACTGCTGTTGGTCATTGTACCCATTCTTTCGGTGCCCATCTCGTTCGTGCAGATCCGATGCACAGCGTGAGAGGAAGTCCGAACAAAAATACACAGGTCAACACTATCATCTGGATCTCAACTTGTCTTGAAGATTACCGATCGCCCCCGCATGAGGTGTCGATATTGTTTCACGCCGGCGCCCAGGCATCCCAACAGAACTCCGGCATGCGCAGTGATGATAGAGGAGGGGGCCGGCGGCTGAGGGCGAGACCCCTACGGATAAGATCCGAGTGCACATAAAATGTCAGCGAACGCGCGTGGATTTCTCGGACCAGCGCGGGAACCCCCCAACATCTGTGTGTACGCCCACTCTCCTTCTTCGGCACCATCTGTTTGCGCGTCGTGACGTTTTGTCGACGTGGATGCCCGTAGCTCAATTATCAATCGAAACGGTCAGGGTGTCTATATTCCGTTTTGTGAACCAGCAAAATGCACAATCTAAAACACAACGACGATCGAAAACCTACGACCAACTGCGCCACTGGATAACGAAAACGAAAAAAACAACCGCTGAATATGGCGGTGCCCGCCAGAACCTCTCGAGGCCCCCGGAAAGGAAAGAGCCGTTCCTCGCTTTGCAGTTTGCCCGATAGCGTCATAGTAGGACAGGGCTGCGGTGGCGCACGCCTGTCGATGACACGCTTGACGAGGCCAGCCGCGTGGATTGCCGCTGTCCGCTCTCATCCCCTGCAGTCAGCCCGGCAATTAGGGCGCACGATGGGGATGCAAAGGCCTCGGAAGGCCACGTCGACTCTCTGCGAGCGGGGCGCGGCCTGCAAAAGCGGCCAAGGATGGGCCGAAGGGGAAGGAAGCAAGGGCAGCCTTGAACAGTTGCGCATCTATAAAGAATGAAACGATCGGCGCTCCGCGCGGAACGCCACATGTTCATCTGTCGCGGATGCCTCGGGCGTTGAGGATGTCTCGAGCGAAACGCTTGTTTCGTGTTGTAGATTGTTCCTCTCCTGGGGGCCAGAATTGAGAGAACCTCTCAGTTAAAATCCTTGTTTTCACGTGCCCAGGTATTGAGGATGTCATGAGCGAGACGCTTGGCCTCACGCGTCCAGGTTAGGCGGATGTCTAGCATGAGGATTTGTCGAGGATGTCTGTGGCGAGGCGATTGGTTTCACGCGTCCAGGTCGCAAACGCAGATGTCTAGCATCAGGATGTGTTGAGCACGTCTCGAGCAAGACGCTTGGTTTCACGTGTCAAGGTCGCCCAGGCGGATGTCGAGCATGAGGATGAGTTGAGATGAACTGAGCCGAAGCGCTTGTTGTCACATCTCCAGGTCGTCCAGGCGGATGTCTAACATGATGATGTGTTGAGGATAATCCGAGCGAAACGCATGCTTTCACGTGTCCAGGTCGCCCAGACGGGTGCCTAGCATGAGGAGGTGTCGAGATAGACTGTAACGCAACGCTTATTGTCACGTGCCCAGGTCGGCCAAGCGGATGTCTAACCTGAAGATGTGTTGAGGATGTCTCAAGCGAACCGCTTGGTCTCACGTGTCCAGGTTGCCCAGGCAGATGGCCAGCATGAGGATGTGGGGAAGATGTTGTGAGTGTTCACGCGTCCAGGTCGCCCTGGCAGATGTCTGACATGAGGATGTGTCGAGGATGTCTGTGGCGAGACGCTTGGTTTCACGCGTCCAGGTCGCCCAGGCGGATGTCTAGCCTGAGGATGTGTTGAGGATGTCTCGAGCGAGACGCTTATTGTCACGAGTCCAGGTTGTCCAGGCGGATGTCTAGCCTGAGGATGTGTTGAGGATGTCTCGAGCGAGACGCTTGTTTTCACGAGTCCAGGTCGTCCAGGCGGGTGTCTAACATGAGGATTGGTTGAGGATGCCTCGAGGGAAACGCGCGCCAGTCCGTGGGGCTTCCCCTGGCGCGCTGGCACGTCCCCTGGCGCGTCCCTTGCGACGGTCTGGCGTGACGTGCCCTGGCGCGTCCCCCAACACGCCACTCGGCGTGGCATGTTCCCTGGCTCGTCCTCCGTCGCGTCTCCTGGCTCGTCCCCAAGCGTTCCCCCTGCCCGTTCGGTGACGCGCCCCTTTGCGACGTCCCTTGGCATGACGTCCCCTGGCCACCCCATGGCACGCGCGTTGGCGTCCCGTGTCAGGTCCCTGACACGTCCAGGGCACGTCCCCTGATAAGTCCCCTGACACGCCCACTGGCACATCCCCGATGGAGCCCCTGAAACATCCTATGGCGCGTCCGTGAGCCTGTGCCCCGTGTCATGTCGTTCCTTTTCGAAGCTCAATCGGCATTTGAGGTCGAGTTGATTGAACGTTCCGCACGTTTCCACTTCAGCTAGTTCTGGGGCAGCTACTCTGTGCTCAAGCAGCTCGAGCTTAAGATCCACATCAGTTCGATCTAGACTCGGATGCAAAGGAAGGCTTGATCCACAACGCTGTAGTGCACAATCAGGGCATGGCAGATCGAAAGTCAGCACCGCGCAGCAAGGCACAGCCCTCAGCACGGTGCATCAAAATCGATACACTCAGCATTGCAATTGCCCGTGGCCCAATCAGGTGTCTTGAAAACGTTGCCATGCCTCTTGCATCTTCGTGGGTCGATCATGTTGTTCTTCGAGTATCCTTATGGTGCGGGTTGACCCCACCTGGAAGCGAATCTAAAAAAGGGTGTGTGTTTTTGTTCAAGGGGTGGGCGCGCGCGAGCAGGAGCGGGGCACGGCGGCATTCCCCTCCTCCGTCGCTGCCGCAGGGGGCACCCAGAGCGGAATCAGAGGCGCTGCCAGTTTCGGCGGGCACGGGCTTGGGCGGCCCCCCCGTTGAGCTTGTCTGCGTTCGTTTCCTCTGTCCAAAGCGAGAGCTGAAAACGCATTGGGAGCGAAGTGAAAACCGAACAAGAAGAGCGGGCGGACAAGGGGGGGCAGCGGTGAGCTGAAAACGGAGGGAACAAAAAACAAAAATAGTTCACTCAATGCCCGGACGCAGAAGTTTGCATCAAGGGACATCGATTAGATCATGGACGCGGACCTCGACACCTCGCGCCCCTGGAGGACGAGGAGGGTTTGGAGGCGGTAAAATATGTTTGGGATGAAAAGGAAGCGGACGCAGACGAGAGCGACGGAGGGCTGCTATGCTGCCGGAACCTATGCCCGTCGAAACCGGCAACGCCTCTGATTCCTCTCCGGGCACATCCGCTGACAGCGACTGAGAGACGCAAGAGGCCCCCAACTTGCCTGCGCGAGGACGATCGACCACTCAGGAGAGACAGAAACGGGGAAGCCAATACGCCCAAAACGAACCACAAGCGATGCGAAAACGCTGACGGTACTGGAACACAACGCTGCTAAGTTTCACTCAAAACGGAAACGAACCGGAAATGAAACGTGACACCTGGAAACGGAAAAACAGCGCTATGACCGTTTTGGGAGTCAACCGAGCCCCGGAAGCCTCGACTCCTTCCCCTTGGACACGCGCTTCGTCTGGAGCACGTTGTTTTGACGGCCATGGGGACCAGCAAGAGCCCCGGGAGCCCAGAGCGACACAAACGCCTCCCTTTGCGACTTTATTCACCACAAGAGATGACCCATGAGAGCAAAAAGAGTCACCAGCACCAGAATCAGCATCGCTAAACCGAACCCGATCCCCATGGGCGTGGCCTGGGCCCCACTTGCCGATGTAGAATACAGGCCGTTTCCTTAGGGTTTCGAGAGGTATATCCCCAACCGGGGTGTTCAGATGGTGGGGGTCTGGACGGGGATGGGGATGGGGAGATGCAACAAATTCAAAAAAGCTGTGCATCCATGAAGGACGTGCGGGCAGAAATAGCAACTTCAAAAAGTTGCCGCGGCCACAGCGGGCGCCTCCAGGGGGAAGAAGTGGAGGAGGGGGATGGGGATGGGGATGGGGATAGGAGGAGGAGGAGGAGGAGGAGGAGGAGGAGGAGGAGGAGGAGGAGGAGGAGGAGGAGGAGGAGGAAGGTCGGTGAAACGACACTGACAGAACTTCATAGATCTCCGTTTCCCGAGCCCCCCCCCCACGAGCCGGTGGCGCTCTGTTCTGGGCACTCTCGGGGGCGTGCCCAGAACGGGGCTGCCACCAGTTCGGGGGGGGGGAGGGCGGCCCGACCCCCGAGCTGGTGTGACGGTCCTTTCTTTTCTGCTGCACGACCCGGCCTTCGGGTCCTGACTCCTGGGCGCCCAA